AAAGTATAGAAATTAAAAATATAAAAAAGAATCTGTAATCAATTCAAAAAAAATTTTTTTTGAAATATAAGATATAAAAAAATAACTGAATAGAAACAAGTATAAAGAATACATAAAAAAAATAAAATTAAAAGATCTCAATATTTTTTAAGTTTGAAAATTATGCTTTCAATAAAAAGAGAATTATTAATGAAGAAAATTAACTTAGAAAATAAAAATTTTAAGGTAATTTTAACAAAAAAGTTAAATATAAAATAAGATAATTGGGTTTTAAACCTTATCAAAACCTTGCAAAGTAATTTGTAGTAATAATTTATAAGTAATAAAGTTAGTAATTAAAAATTTTTTATTTGAACTACTAATGAAGTGATAAATCTTTTCAAAGTTGTACTTAGAGTTTTAGAAAATTATAAAATAAAGATAAATAAATTAGATAAAAATTTAGCTTTAATGAAATATTTTAAATATAAAGTATACAAATATTTAATAAAGTATATATATCTAACTTAACTAAAGATTTTTTTTTTTTAAACTATTGAAAAGATTTAAAGATTTAATATAAAATAATATTGTTTAATTATATTGAATAAAAGAAAATATTAAATTAATATAAAAAGTTAAAAATTTATAACTTTAAAATACAAGATCTTTAGATGTAAAATAAATTTAAAAAAAAAATAATTTAATATTTAAAAAGAAAATATCAAATATATATATAATTTAAAATAATATATTTATAGAAAAAGTTATTAAAAAAAATATGACAAGACAAATTCTTTCTACTGATTTTCTGACCATACATAAAAAAGATGTTCACAAGAAGTTTTTATACTTTCTTGCTAATAAAATCTTAATACTTTCCTTAAAACAACTTGAAGTATGACTTCAAGAGTCACTTTTATCCTTTTTCTATTGTTTACAAATCTTTTTACTCAAAAACTTGACTTCTAGTGACCAAGAAAAGTCAAGTAACACCTTTTTATATCAATGGCTAAAAAGTTTTCAAAGGAAAAAGAACTGACTGTGAAGTACCTGAAGGCCTTTCTAACCTTTGAAGCGAGAAACTTATAAAGGTTTTCTATAGTAAAAAAACTTATTTTCTTCCTTTTTGACTGTCTTGGCCCTCTTAGAGCTTCCATTTTTATGATTTTCTAGGGAATTTTGCCTATAGTGGTTTGACCCTGAATTTTGGATAGCACAAATCCTTACCAAAGATGATTGGTTGACATGAAACACATCAGTTTTTGAAATGTAAACAAGCTCCTATTGGTCATATTCACGTGTCTCGATATATTATTGGTGATGTAGAAAAGAAGATTCTAGAAAAAGTGTCCCCTTCAATCGTATATATTCAACCTTTAGGAAACAATTATAATATTGAAAGGTAAGCAATAGGTAGGAAAAAAAAATCCAACTCCTATCTCTCACTAAGTTTTTCAAGTAGTAAAAAGACTTTTTTGAACAAAAGCTAAGGTTTTCAAGTTTCTATCCTGGTCAAGTAAAGTTCTTGAAAAGATTTTTTTATTCTGATCAGGCAAACTCTTTTGTAATATGACACTGGCTCCAATAGTATTAAGCGAATCATATATTGGCAGAGAAATAAGTTTCTCAAATATTCTTTTTGAAGTCACTTTCAGGAATGGTTAAGTTTCTTAAATGTTATGAAGCTTAGAGAATATCTCAATCAGGCAAATCTCTTTCAAGAGAAAACTGTGAAATGGAGCAAGAATTTTTTGAAGGACTTTGAATTATATTTCTTTTCCCTTTTTTTTCTAGTGTCAACTTTAGCAATTTATTGTTTTTTCAGGATAATCAATAGTAACAAACTATTGGTAATGATCTTGATTGACTTAAAGACTAATGTCAAACTACTAGAAAAGTGTAATATTGTTTTTAAAATCTGACTTAAAGTATCTAGTTTAAACTTAATTTTGTTTAGTCCAAACTAGCTTAGTGAACTTCTTATATTTTTTAAGTAATGTAGTCTTTTAACTAATAATATATAATAACAAGTTGGTTGTTTTGTGAAAGTCTATAAACTTTGTAATATCTTTCAATATCTCAATAAAAATATATTATTGTGGTATGATTGTGGATTGAAAAAAAAAAGTTATTAAAAAATAATTAGTTAAAGATAAAAATATTTTAATATTCAATTTATTAAATAAAATTTTGAGAAATTTACAATAATAATCTATAAACAAAAAACTTTATAATTAAGTGATAATTTAAATTATAAAAGAAACAAAATATTAATTTTTTAAAAAAAACTTTTTTTATTAATTCTTTAATTATATATAAAAAAGATATTTACAAAAAATCTTTTTATTCTTTTAATAATAAAATCTTAATATTTTTCTTAAAACAATTTAAAATATAATTTTAAAAGTTATCTTTATTTTTATTCTTTTATTTATAAACTTCTTTATTCAAAAATTTGAATTCTAATAATTGAGAAATGTTAAATAATATCCTTAATATTAATAGCAAAAAAGTTTTAAAATAAATAATGATCTTTTTTCTCTTTTAAGTAAGAAATAATAAAGATTTTTTGTAATTAAAAAAGTTTATTTTTTTTCTTTTCTAATTATTGATTTTTTAAGCTATTTTTTTAAACAGTTTTTTGATGAATTTTATTTTAATTTAATTTTAAATTTTAAATAGTACAAATTTTCAACAAAAGTAATTGGTTAATTTAAAATATATTAGTTTTTAAGCTCTTATTAATTATGCTCACATATTTTAATAATATCATTTATAATTAAAAAGAATGTTTAAAAAATATTTACTTTCTAGAATCTCAAGTTTCTTAAAAAAATATCCATAATATTAAAGGATTACAAAATAAATACAAAATAAATAATATAAATTATAAATTTCTAAATAATAAAAAAAACTCTTTCTGCTAATCCTCTAATCATACAAAAAAGATATTCACAAGAAGTTTTATACTTCTTTATCAATAAAGTCTTTACACTTTCATTAAAATAACTTGAAACATGTCTTCATGTATCTCTCCTACTTTCTTTTACTTATTTATAAACTCCTTTGAATAAAAACTTGAGCCTCTAGTGGCTTAAAAAGACTCAAGTATGCACTTTCTCTACTAAGGGCAAGAAGATTCTAGAAAATAAAAGAATTGACAAGTGGAGTGTCACCTTACAGAATTAGAAACAACAAAAAATAGAGGTTTGCTGATAGAAAAAGGCTTATTATTTATCTTCTCACATACTGTCTTGTATTCTCTTAAAGTATCCACTGTTTTTCATGGTTTTTTTAAGGAATTTTACCTATCTCAGTTTGATCTTAAATTTCTGATAATACAATCTTATTTAGTATCTGATTAGTTGACATGAAACATGTTAGTGACTGAATATAAACAAGCTTCTATTGATCATCTCACATATAAAGATGGGTTCCTAAAAGGAAGACAGAGATAAAAATCAAATGTTCCTTATTAGAAAACATTAAAATTTTTAAATTAATAACTATAAAAATACTATTCACAATTGTTCTCTATTATTCAAATTATTGATTTAAGCATTTTCTGATTTTTGTCTCTATTAAAGTAAAAAGCTATAAATTTTGTCCCTCAAAAAGGGACATAAGTGATCTGTAAAATTTTATATGCTAAATACTTTAGAGACCCATTATTACCTGGGATCCATTATAAGTCATCTCTCTATCACAAGTGGATAAAAAATCATTGTTCAAAGAAGATTGGGATCAAGCATATCCTGGAAGTAAAGATTTTCATTAAGCGATAAGTCTCCTTAGACAGTATATAAAAAAGAAATCATGATCAAGAATAAATAAGTTCCTCAGATAATTAGGAAAAAAAAGAATATTCCAATCAGGTATTTCTTATTGAAAAAAGGTCTTGAGAAGCAGGTCTTTAAAGGAAGTTGAAAATATTTTTTTTTCAATTTTTATTTTTCATTTTCTTGTTGTCTGTTTAGATATTTTTAGATATTTCTTCTTACCTATTTTTTTGTAGTTTTCTGTATTCCAGTGATTTGATAAGACTTATGGTAGTAACAATCTGCTGGTAATGATACAGTAGACTAGGAGAGTTTTTACTTAAAGACACTGGAAGCAAAATATTGTTCTCAAGATTAAACTTAGAAGCTTTTATGCTTACGATAAGTTAGTTAGATTAGAATAATAGTTTAGCCGTAGTATGTATTATGCTGCTTGAATGAAAATATACTTATGTTTTCAATTGATTAATAAATTAACAATCTAGTCTAGCTATAGGCACTCAAAAAAAATATATATATATATATAAATTATAAATTTCTATCACTTATCTAAGCTTCTCAAATAATAATAAAACTTTAATAAATAAAGGCTAAAATCTAAATATTTTTTAAAAATATCTTAATTTAATACTTGTTTAAATAAAAGATTTGTCAAATAAACTTATCTTAATATTATAAATATTGATAAAATTATTTTAATAAGGTAAATTTTTTTTTCTTTTATTTATTTTTTCTCTTTTTTCTTAACTTAGCAATTTATTAATTAACAATAATTCTAGTAGATAATAATTAATTCAATTATATCAAATAAGTATAATAATATTTTTTTAAAATCTGATCTAAAGTATTTTATATAATAATAAATTAATCACTTTGTAAAAATCTATAGATTTTTTTTGTTAAAAAAAAAACAAAATATTATTTAGAAAAAGATAAAACTTCAATAACAAATAAGTTGATATATAAAATGCAATACGTAAGTTAGCGATCATAAAATTAGATAAGAAACTTGATTTACAGTTTCCTTTAACGTCATTTTATGTTTTACCATAAAAGTATCATCAGGCGCGCCTATTATATTTAAGATCAGAATTTCTCACGAATTTCAAATTTGGATTAATTTGTTCTTATCAATCTTATCAATCTTTAAATATAAATTTGAAACTCCATTCTTTTTGTTTAAAAAATTTTCTCAATAAACAATGGTCAGGCAGATTGAGAGTAAAGCGAGTTTCGATGATGTTCTCAGAGAAGGAGGGGTGGTATGTGTCAACTTTACGGAATACCGAAATATGTTGTAACAAAATAATCGAAACTCATAATACTTTTAAGACGGTAGTTGATTTTTATGCCGACTGGTGCGGACCTTGCAGAATGATGGCACCAAAAATCGAAGAATTCTCTAAAGTTTTTCCTGAGGTCAAATTCATTAAAGTAAATACGGACGAACAAACTGTAAGCAATATTAGTTTGTCCCTTGTTATTTCTTTATTTGGTCGTTTTTGTTAACGTTGCTTAAACTTTATAATAGGAATTATCTAGGGAATATTCTATCTCTTCATTACCAACTTTTTACATCTTCGTAAATGGTAAAAGAGATGAGAGCCTTGATGTTATAGGTGCCAGGGAGGGTATGCTGAGAGAAAATATTCAAAAAGCACTCGATAAAATTAAGCAATAATATGTTGCGCATAAATATTGATATTGTAAGGAGTCGAAAATAAACCAAGTTTTATTTACCATCAGGTTAAATATATTTACGTGTTGCTAAAGTTATCTCTTTACAATTCAGTTTTGATTTAATCTATTAGTTAGATGTAGCTCTAAAGATAATTTGAATAAATATTCTTTTAACTAATAGTAAGTATTATTGCAATAAATATTCAATAGTATAAATTTTATGAGAAAAGTTTATATTTAAAATTATTAATCATTTATAATTTTTATTGAATATATTTATAAAAAAATTAAATTATTAGTAAAAAGTTTTTTTAAAAAAAAAAAAGAATGAATTTTAAAGAATTTTAAATTTTGAAGCAATTTATTATAAAAATTTTTATAATAAAAAATTTTTTTTGATAATTTTTTTAAAAAAGAAAAGTTAACTTAAAAACATTATATTGTTTTAAGAATTTAAAACAATACTTTATTTTTTAACTTTATTTTTATTATAGAAAAGAAATATATCAATAAGCTAATTTATAATAAGCTTAAAAGAGTCTAATATCAATTTTTCAAGTTTATAACTTGAGTTTATACTTATTTAAATACTAAAAAAAACTTTATAAACAATAGTTTCTATTAATGAATAAAAAAAAAAACTCAAAGTTTACAAAATCTAAAAGATTATTAAAGGCTTTCAAAAATTAAATAGTAAAATATTTTAATTAACTTAATTGTATAAACTAAATATTAAAACAAGTTATATAAATATATATATATTAAATAGTAATAAATACTAAATAACAAGAACAAGAGTTTTCTGGTAAATCTAATCCATAATAAGCTTCCTACCTTTCAAGTGATACAGAAAAAAAAATCAGACTTATATTCAAATATAATATGATTAATATGCAAGTCACAAAAGGAAATCTCAAACATTTCTTTAAATGTCTCAAAACTCAAAGCAAAAAATTAATTATATGAGACAAATCTCAAAGTAAAATCCTTTAATATATCAAAAAAATAAAAGATCTATCTAACAAGAGCTAGATAGAAATTAAAAGAGTAATAGGAAAATAGATCCAGGACATTAAACAATAGAATAAAAGCTCATATAATACAATCTATGGCTTTATATACAAAAACAAGATCTTAAAAGAGTATTTCAAAACTTTTAAGATCCCAGCAATGATAATACAAGAGGTTATTGATAAATTTTATAAAAAACTGAAAAAGATTTTTAAGAAGGAAGTTTGGAACAAGTACTGTAGCATTACTATCAAATGGAAACAAAATCAAAAAATTACTAGCAAACTCAAAAAACTTATAGTATCAGCTGATATGATTAAAAAAATAGATCGAGTTCTTAAAGAAGCCAATTACTTCTTTATTCTTTTCTTCAAAAATATAACAAAAGAATAAGAAAACTTAGAACAAATAAAGTCTCAAAACAATATAGTAGATATAATAAATAGTTAGATATTCAAAAGTTTTAAATAATTTGTTTATTAATTACAATTAAAACTTTGAAAAATTTATAATAATGAGCTATAGGTAAAAATAGATCCCTAAAGAGGGAGGTAGGGACAAAAGTCAAATGTTACTTACTAGGAAACATTAAAATTTTTAAATTAATAACTATTTAAAAACTACATATAATTATTTTCTATTATCCAAATCATTGATTTATAATATTTCCTAACTTTTGTCCCTATTAAAGTGAAGAGCTATAAATTTTGTCCCTCAAAAAAAGACATAAGTGATTTGCGAAATTTTATATGCTAAATACTTTAGGGACCTATCATTAGCTATAAGCAATGATTTGAGTGGCTAGAGGATAATCCAAGCTACAAAAGAAGCAAAATATTATCCCCTAAGTTGTATCTAGAAAAGATTAAACATTATAAATAAGTAAGACAATATATAAAAGTCCTAGAATATGTAAATATTAAAATATATTTACAATAAAATAAATAAGCCATATTAACCTGATTATGGATTAAAAAAAAAAAAAAATAATAAATACTAAAATAATAAAAAACTCTTTTCACTAATTCTAAAAAAACTTTTTCTGATAATCCTTCTTTTTCTTAAAAATTTTCTTTTTTTGATAATTTTTTTTAAAAAAAAAAGATCACTAAACTCAACTTAGCAATACTAATAAGAGCTAACAATTATATAACTTTTCTCAAAAGATATACTGTATATCAGAAATTTTTTTTAGCAAAGATCTCTGAAGATTTTTGGGCATAAAATTCCAAAGGTACTCCATCATCATTAGAAGTCTCTGGAACAGAAATTTATATATACAACTCCAGAGAATTTTGAATGTTTTAAATTGTAATAAAATAATTTCGCATTATTATTAAAATATT